TCTTTCTGAATCTTTCTGTATCTTTCTGAAACTTGATTGTTTGCTCATTAAGACTGCCCCAACCTGGGGACTGTTAAAGTTTTGGAAACTGCATGACGTTTATAAATAAAAAGCTGCCATGATAAGTGTCTATGGAATGGGTCACAAATTTGAGTGTGCTTAGAATCACTTGGAGATCATCCGAGACCATCTGAATCAGAAACTCTAGGCCCCTGTAATGTGTGCAGCTCTCCAGAAGATTCTGTTGCCTCCTAGAGTCTGAGAGCCACTGGGCTGTCATCATCTGTCTGTTCTTTTGTTTTCTCTTACATAAATTCTGATTGCCCAATGCAGTAAGGCTTGTGAAACTTCCCCTTCCTTCCTCATGGGATCTAGTTCTCAGGACAGATGATATGCATGCCTGAAAAGAAAATTCGATAGCAGATTTCTGGTAGTTGGTTGTAAATTTTCTTTTGAATTCTTCATCTCTGTGTGAATCAAAACAGGATTTATTTTAGCAACTTTATGAATACAATATACTAAAGTTTATTACCTTATTCATCATGGTGAGATAGGAAGGTCAATAGACGGAATTGAAGGAGAGACAGTTTCCCAGACAAGCAAAAACTCAAGGAGAGTTAAACCAGAACTATGAGAAACATTAAAGGAACTTTTGTAAGCAGGAAAGAAAAAGGCCAAAACTAAAAATAAGATTTCTATATAGGAAAGGAAAAAAAATTATAAATGTAAAGACATTTCACGCATGGATTGGAAGAATCAATATTGTTAAAATGTCCATAGTGCCCAAAGCCATGTATAGATTAAATGCAGTCCTTATGAAAATTCCAACAGTATTTTTCACAGAATTAGAACAAATAATTACAAAATTTGTTTGAAACCACAAAAGGCCCTGAATAGCCAAAGCAATCCTGAGAAGAACAAAGTGGGAAATATCAAGCGCCCTGATTTCAAACTATACTATAAAGTTATAGTAATCAAAATAGTCTGCATTGGCACAAAAACAGACAATAGATCAATTTGACAGAATAGAGAACCCAGAAATAAACCAATGCATATATGGTTGCTTAACCTACAACAAGGAGGCAAGAATATACAGTTGGGTAAAGACAGTCTCTTCAATAAATGGTGTTGGGAAAACTGGGCAACCACATGCAAAAGAATGAACTAGACCACTTTCTTACACCATATACAAAAATAAACTCAAAATGGATAAAAGAGTTAAATGTAAGACCAGATATAAAATTTCTAGTGGAAAACATGGGCATTAAACTCTTTGACATTGGCCTTAGCAGTAATTTAAATATATGTATATGTGTGTGTATATATATATATCCATCTCCTAGGACAAAGACGACAAAAGCAAAAATAAACAAATGGGACATCTTCAAGCTACAAAGTTTTTGCACTGTGAGGGAAACCACCAACAAAACAAAAAGGCAACCTTTCGAATGGGAGAAGATATTTGCAAATGATATATCCAATAAGGGGTTAATATCCAAAATATATAAAGAACTTATACAACTAAAATCAGAAAAACAACCCAATTTTAAAAATGAGCAGAGGACCTGAATAGACATTTCTCCAAAGAAGACATGTAGATGGCCAACAGACATGAAAAAATGTTCAACATCACTAATCATCAAGGAAATGCAAATCAAAACTACCGATACGTACTTCAGTTTAGTGCTTGTTCAATACTCGGTGCTTAGAAATGTTTGAGGGAAAAAAAGTATATTCTAATGGAAATTATTAAAAGTTAAGAGAAACTACAAAATGCAAATGAGATACAACCTCATCTATCTGCATGACTGTTATCAAAAAGACAACAAAGAATAAATGTGGAGAAAAGGGAACCCTCATGCACTGTTTGGATTGTAAACTGGTGCAGTCAATATGGAAAACAGTATTCAGATTCCTCGAAAAATTAAGACTAGAACTACCATATGACCTAGCAATTCCACTTCCGGATATTTATCCAAAGAAATCGAAAACACTAGTTCAAAAAAGATATATGCATCCCTATGTTCCTTGCAGCTTTATTCACAATAGCCAGGATATGGAAGCATCTTAGGTAGCACTTGATAGATGAATGGATAAAGAAGATGTGTTATGTATATGTATATACGCAGCCATGAAATCTTGCCATTTGTGACAATGTGGTTGGACCTAGAGGGTATTATGCTAAGTGAAATAAGTCAGACCAAGAAAGACAAATACTATAAGATTTCACTTATATGTGGACTCTAGAAAACAAAACAAATTAGCAAACAAAACAGAAACAAACTCAGAGATACAGAAAACAAACTAATGGTTGCCAGATAGCGAAAAGATGAAGGGGATTAACAAATACAAACTATTGATTATAAAACAAATCATGGGATGTAAGGTACAGCATAGGGGATATAGTCATTAGTATAATAATAACTGATGGTTATTAGACTTATCTTGGTGATCACTGTGTAAGGTACATAAATGTCAAGTCACTGTCATACACATGAAAATAATATTGTCAACTGTAATTAAAAACTAAATTTAAAAGAAATTCCCTCCAACTCGGAGAGCAAAAGGTATTTTCTCAGTGGTTCAATTTGTATTTCCTTGTTTAATAGTAAAGTTCTTCATGACTCACTTTTATACATTTGCTGAAGATAGTTGAGTATAGTGATTAAGTGGGGTACAGTGGATCCCAAATATTCACTTACTGGTGACCTCGAGTACGTTCCTTCATCTTCTTATGCTCACTTACCAACTCTGATAATGACAATGCCTACTTCATGGGGTCTGTATGAAGATGAAAGAGGATATCACATGAAAAGTGCCTAGAAATTCATTATTGGCATTACAGTAAGCACCTGATACATATTAGCTATATGGGCAGAGAGAACATTATTTTGCCTTGCTAAGCAGGGAAATGATCATAACCACCCTTACAAAAACATAGAAATTCTACTTGAGCTGCCAACTTATTTCAAAAAGCCATTGAAAGCGGGAAAATATTGCTGCTGTGTGGATAAATGGGAGTGTGTTATATAATTTTTACTAGGCTTGTGTATGACTGAAATTTTTCCATATAAATTTTTTTTTTTTTTAAAGCAGCTTTGTTAACGACGCTTACCACTAGGGACTTGGGAAAAACTACGTCTTTCATTTCTGACTCTATCTGGGCTACACTATATGATTCCCGCCTAGATGTAGATTTTCTTTCTGTTCACCTCTCCTATTTGTTAAAATCACATTAAACTTAACTATTTCCCTATCCCTTTCACTTTTAATATCTTCCATTAGCATATATCTTTTTTTTCCCCTCAAACATTTCTAAGCACCGAGTATTAAACAAGCACTAAACTGATATATGTATCAGTGATACTGGGTGGAGAGCAAGGAGACTTTAACTTCCAGATTTTATACGTCCTTACTAGATTTTTGTCTTTGTGTATTTTTTTGTTGTTTTACTTCAAGCATGTTTTACTTTTTAACACTTTTAAGAGAAAAAAATTTAAACCATGATTTATATAGTAATCATTTTAAGAACTGTTATGATGTACAGAACTGAGATGGCGACCAGTGCTGAAATAGACATAAAATAGACAACAGTTAGAGTTGGCCCCAAAGCCTTGTAAATTAACTCTTTTTATTAAAAATTTTTATCTTTGTAAGTCTTCCTATATTTTCCTTTTTCTCTGTGTGTTTCGACTTGTGATTATGGGGGAACTTAAAGCAAGAGATGGATTCCCACTGCAATCTAAAATTTTGTATTGCTAATTGGGGTCCGGGCACCTGTAATATTGAATTGCAGACACCTACAGGCTGTAAAAACAACTGTGTTCATGACTCAGTCACATTAGTCTTTTACTTGTAAGCAAAATGCCATAGAACATTTAGCTCCTTTCATGCATTTAGTACCTACACCCAGGAATAAAGAATTGGGAGTGTTAAGCAGAACATTTCTTTATTTTAAACTTCAGTTCCCTCAGTGCAAATATTTGACTCTCACTCAAGGAATTTAACCTCAGTATCTCTGTTTGCAGGCAAAATGAAGGACCGGCTCTCAGACCTTCTAGAGTTATCCAAGCAGTATGACCAGCAGTTCCCAGAAGAGGACAATGAATTCAACTCACCCCACGAAGACATCGTGTTTGAGACAGACCACATTCTGCAGTCCTTGTACCAAGACATCCAGGACCTTCAGAATGAAAACCAGCATCTGACCGCCGACGTGAAGCGGCTAGGAAAGCAAAACACCCGCTTCCTCACGTCCATGCGGCGTCTCAGCAGCATCAAGAGAGACACCAACTCAATTGCCAAGGACATCAAGGCCCGCGGGGAGAGCATCCACCGCAAGCTGTGTGCCATGAAGGTGCTGAGCGAGGAGGCGGAGGCCCAGCATGGCCCGCACTCCGCGGTGGCGCGCATCTTACGCTCACAGTACAGCGCGCTCACCCGCAACTTCCAGCGCGCCATGCACGAGTACAACCAGGCCGAGATGAAGCAGCGCGACAACTGCAAGATCCGCATCCAGCGCCAGCTGGAAATCATGGGCAAGGACGTCTCCGGCGACCAGATCGAGGACATGTTCGAGCAGGGCAAGTGGGACGTGTTCTCAGAGAACCTGCTGGCCGACGTGAAGGGCGCGCGGGCAGCACTCAACGAGATCGAGAGCCGCCACCGCGAGCTGCTGCAGCTGGAGAACCGCATCCGTGATATTCACAAGCTCTTCCTGCAGATGGCCGTGCTGGTGGAGGAGCAGGAGGAAACCCTGAACATCATCGAGCTCAATGTGGAGAAGACCCTCGACTACACCGGCCAGGCCAAGGCGCAGGTCATCAAGGCCGTGCAGTACAAGAGGAAAAACCCCTGCCGGACCATCTGCTGCTTCTGCTGCCCCTGCCTCAACTAGCAGGCTGGCCTGGGCCATCATGTGCTTCCCAAAGTGCGCTGGGAAAGATTTGGGGACCCTCTTCACTAGAGTGAGTTGTCCCAAACCCTGTGGACCTCGATCTTTAGAGAAAAAAGAAACTTGAGGTCCAAGAATTCCAACCCAGCCCATGCTTGGGAAGATGGTCGATGCTGTCGGATATTTCTTCAGTAAGAACAGACACCCACTGAAGTTGTGTGGGGTCATTATATGGTGCGTTGCACCCTTATCTTAACAGAAGCCAAGTGAAGAACTGACTGACGACTTAGCGTATTGTAGGGTAAATGTCCAAGGCATGTTTCCTAACGAAACCCTAGGAGGAAGTCAATTCTGCACTGGCTAATAGTGAACTCATTATTAAAACTTAAATTCATTTACACTATCCTGAAAGTATCTTGGTTCTGTTCAATTTCACATGAAATTGACCTTGGGAAAAATTGTACCTCTTTCATTTCCCATTCTTCATCTGGTTTATGCTATGTGATTCTTGTCTAGATATGATCTTCTTTCTCCTCACCTCCCCTACTTATTAAAATCACATTTGACACTCATTCTTTTTCCTTATCTCTTCACTTTTAATATCTTTCATCAAAGTGTATTTGGGAATTTTTTTTTCCCAAATATTTTTAAGCACTGAATATTGAATGAGCACTCAACTTGAAGTATGTATTAGTCACATTTTATATATTTTTCATAAATAAAAATAATTTAAAATTTATCTTTTGTACCTTATTACAAATGCACATATATATGTAAATGTGAAGTACTAATATTTACTAATATTAACTAATGAATGTACATAATGACTAATTAATTGGTTTTAACTTTACTTTTGTAAATACATAAATATCAAGAAAAACACTTTTATTGGTTATTGGTGTTAATTTTCTTGTTTTGAGTTTGTCTCACTCCCATCTGCGTCTCCAGTCAAGTTAGAGTCAAAACTTTAATTCTGTGATAAAGACAGATGTCAAAGGCTGAAAATGCATACAGAACTAGAGATAATAAAATAACATTCTTTGAAATATTACTTTTATTTTACTGTGTACCATTCCTTTCATGCATTGAAATGGAGTAATTTAAAATAATCCTGTTTTTAAGTTAGTTTAATAAACATTACATTATAAATATCCCTTTTATGTATTTGTGTCTTGACCATTTAAGTTTTGATCAGTTTACTTTTTCAATTATTATTTTAAAAAAATTTTTTTACTAGAAGCTTAGGGCTACAAAACATCTGGATGGAATTTTGAATAGAAAATAAAAAAATGAAAAGGAATTCACATTGGGGTGTTTTCTTTTCTCTCCTGAATTACCGTAGTTTAGCAAAATTGTCATGCTTTGGAGATTTGGTTTCATTTGCAAACTTTTAATGCCCTTACCCATATTTACCGTGTTTCCTGTCTTTCTTCTGAGTCAACTCTGAACTCTTTCTACTCATTATTTAATAAATGAGTGAATTTATTCAGCGGCTATAATTCTCAGATCCTTCAGACAGTGAAATTTTAAAAGGAGTAGAAAGAAGGGTGTGTGAACTCTTTGGAACTCACTGACTAGCCTGCTTCTGACCATGAAAATCTAGCACTGCATCGAATTTTAATTTCATGGTTAAATATGAGAATTGTGGAAACCAAGTCCCACCCGGCTCTTCTCATATTTCTCCTGAGTTCTTTCTCAGCTAACTCTAGGGATATGTTTCACCTTTGACCTTATTTGACCTAATTCCCTTTCCCTAAAAAAAAAAAAGTCTTCACACAGTTCCATTGCTATGTCTTTCATGGTACAGAAGAGATATTGTAAATACAGACCACCAGCTAGTTTCCACAAGAGAGGATAGTTCATGCATTTGACTTGTTTAAATCCATAAAGCATTTTCTTTACTTAGAAACATTCATAAAAGTAAACGAGTTTGCTGGCTCTGTGTATTTTTTAATTCCCCGTATTTCACACTGGAAAGTTGGATAAAAACTGCACTTTGATATACTAATTGATCAGTGAATTGCCTGTGAGAAGGCACGAATTTTTCTTCCTTCTTTTTAGTAACTATCTGGGTGTGTTTTCAGGTTAAGAGCACAGATTCAGGAGCTCTCTCATTTTAAATCCTGACTCTGCCTCACACTAGCTATATGACTTGGCACACTATTTAATGTCTCTGCGCCTCAGTTTCCACATTTGTAAAACAGATATAAGAGGACCTATAAGAGGACCTCACGGAGTTGTTGTAAGTAAATGACTAGGTAAATAAAAGCACCTGGCACATGCTATGTTCAGTATTGTTAGTATATAACTCTCTGGTAGACTGAGAGAGGTGTTACTGATTTGAGTCAATGAATATTAATTATCAGGGGAAAATATAAATGCTTATTCTTCTGTCGGTAGTCTAATAAAATGGAATAAAGAAAGCAAGGCTCTATATTCTTGGAATATTAAGGCTTTTATTTTTTTCCTGTAATGAAAAAACTATTTTCACCGTGGCATTTCTATTCCTTCTCATATCCAAACATCTTATATCCAAATTAGATGTTCCATTAAAAAAAAAAAAAAAAGTAGTTCAGTCATGGAGGCCAGGTCACGATGGACTGAAGGGAAGGGATCGGTTGGCTCTTCCCACATCCTGCCCTGTTTCCCCTGAGCCCTTCTTGGCTCTGACTGCCATGCCAATCAATGCTGGCTTTTTCCTTAGGAAAGCCGCCGAGAGATGCTGTGGAGTTGGATTTACCCAATCCCATGATGGTCACTTGGCAAATTCTAAAGAGTGACTTTGGGCAAGAAGACTTTGTGGCAGATATGCAAAATTCATACACTAATGTCATTTAGTGTATGAAATGAAAGAATCAACCACAAGGAACAATAGAGCCTTCAGGGGCTAAAGATGGAAATCTTTTAAAGCTATTTTAACATATGCGGTGACTACCTCCAACTAGCCAAATGCCAAACTTTACAGCGCAACCACAGATTATAGGTGGTGACAACCCCAGAAATATCAGAATAGGAAAGATGCCCACCTAGGAGGCATCAGAATCCAAGATAATCTGAGTTACAATTTTTAAAAAGCCGATCAATAATTTAAAAATGTTTGAACTGTGACATCATGGGAGTGTTTGTGTCCTTTTAGAACAGTGACTTGGAAAGAGAACAGTGTTCTTCTTGTACCAATGCTTTATATTTATTTAAAAACAGTACCAATGCTTTATGGTTAAAAGTCAGTTAAATGTCATATGCAAATATTTTTCAGGCTCTACATGTGAAGTTTCTATCTTGACAGGAAACTGCTGAAAACAGTGTATAGCTTAAAAATAATATAATAGGATAACTGTAGTCTTAGCTTTTACATAGAAATCCTACCATTCTATTTTCTACCATCAGACATATTTCTTCTTCTCTCTGAAACATTCAGGGTATCTATCTGCAGCATGCAATTCATTCATTTGTAATCAAGATGATAGTTTGAAACATCCAGTTGTAACCAGAATAACAGTGGACTTGCTTTTGACAGAATTGAAAATCATTACAATTAATAAAATGGAGCTATTAGAAATAGAAAAGAAATGGGATCTAGAATGTAACTTCACCATCATATAACTATTGAGCATCTTTATTACCAACATGTGTTATGAAGAATAGACCAGGTGTCTTTCTGTATCCCAGTATCCCATAATATTTTATAGTGGGTAAAAATAACAGAGCATGCAATACATACATACATATATACATACATACATATCCTTATCTCTCTGTTTTCAAATAGGCCCAGCTACTTGCATGTACCCAGCCTAATTATCCTAAACAGAAAAGCACATGTAAGGTGTGTGTTCCTCTGTTTCTATACCAGGATCTTTATATTTTCCATCAACGTGATCTCCAGTTATGTACCCCTGTTGCCTGATACCTCCGACAGATCCTAGGTTACCCACACCTGGGGATTTGTTTTAAGCCACCATAAATCTATTATGGAACATGGTAGGGAGAGAAGGAATGAGTAAATAGCTGCACATAGCCAAGTTCATTGGCTGAGGCTGAGCAGTGCTTCAGATTTCTAAGTTTTCTTGGAGATGGATGATACCGCATATCTGTGCTACATTCATTTCATTCACTCCTGCACTCAGTTTTTTGTTTTGTTTGCTGCGCGTGTGGACTTTTCACTCTGTGTGTATTCCTATCTGTGTAGTTTCTGTTCAGCTGCTTGCTCTGACCCACAGCCTGACTGCTGTTCATCTGCAAGTTTTCCTGGCTGTCTTTCACCCTGACCTTCAACTTATGTGCACTTCTGGGCACCAGTCTGGATCTGACCATACTTCGCTCAATAGTCGTCTTATCCCACAACAGATAGACATGTCACTCAACTAAGAGAGTACCAACTGGTATAATTTTTAGTTTTCAGGATGCTTTGATCTCATTTTTTGTTTTTCATGACAATCTTGTGAAGTAATATTATCATCTCATTTTTTCTAAGAGATGGGAACTAAGAATTCAGTCCTCTAATACTTGACGATAGTTATGTACTCCCATGTATCTATTTCTTGCTCTCATATTACTAAGCTTCCTTTCTATGATGTTCACATCAATCAATCTAGAAGCACAAATTTCATGAAGAGAGGAAATGTGTATTTTCTTTGACTAATCTCTGTAACGTTAATAAAACATGCTCTTCCCTTGGCCTTCTGACTCCACATTTTTTCTCCTACATTTGCCTTATGGCTGAATTTATATTCAAGGCTTTTCCTCTTCTCAGTCTACCAGTCTCCCCGAACTATTTCTCTCATTACCAGTCTTTCAAATACCATCTTCCTAAATGCCAACCACTTCCAGATCTGTATGTCCAGCCCTGACTTCTGAGCTGAGAGTCAGGTCTATACATCCCATCACCCAGCAAACATCTTCAATCAGATGTCTCACCAGCACTTTTAATGCTACAGAACTCACCATCTCTCCCAAACCAGCAACTCCTGCTTACCCTGTCTTACAGATGGCATCATCAACCACTTTCGACCCCACTGACCAAACTAGTAGCCTTGCTGCAGCCTCCGGTCTCCCTCCCACCTCGTCTCTCTGGAAATTCATGCTCTTCTGTCATCCCACTGCTATTCCCCAGCTCAGATTATCCTACTTTCTCGCTTCCGTTATTTCAGCAGCTTCCAACTGGTCTCTGGCCTCTAGTCTTGCCCCTCTAATGCAATCTCTGTACTATAGTCATAGTGCTTTTTCTTTATGTCATTATGATTGTTTGTTTTTATGATAAAGTATACATAACATAAAAGGTAGCATCTTAACCATTTTAACGCACGTAGTTCAGTAGTGTGAAACACATTCATATTGTTGTGCAACCAATTTTCAGAACTCTTTTCATTGCGCAAAGCAGAAATTCTATACTCATTAAATAACACCTCTCTATTCCCCCCTCCCCTCGGCCCCTGACAAGTACCATTACACTTTCTGTCTCCGTGAGTCTGACTACTCTATATAACTCATATAAATGGAATCATATAGTGTTTGTCTTTTTGTCACTGGCTTCTTTCACTCAGCATAATGTCCTCATAGTTCATCCACGTCGTAGCAGGAGTCCTTTTTTTAAGTTTGAATAATAGTACATTGTTTATATACTACATTTTGTTTATCCATTCATTCGTTCATGTCATTAATCTGCTCAAAATCTTTTGACACTTGTCCCATTGCTGCTGGGATAAAAATCCCAACTCCTTAGTGAGTCCGACCAAGGCCCTGCAGGTTGCAGGCCCCACCTGCCTCTTCAGCCTCATTCCTCCCACTCTTCTTTGCATCCTCTCTCCTGTTCTGCTCTGGCCATTCCTGCAGGTTGTTTCTCTACCTGGACCACTTCCCAGGACTCGCCTCCTGTGTTAGTCTAGGTCCCTTGAGAAGCCAGCTCCAGGAAGAGATTAAACATCGCAAAAATTTTATTAGTGTAATGCCTGGGATAGAAAATAGGGAGAGAGCCCGGTTAGGCTGAGAATGATCAGATCTATGCAAAGCTGACCCTAGTATAGGTGAAAAAATGGAAGTATTCTAGACTGCTGTGCAATCTAAAAGGATTTTGCAAAGCCAGGGGGAAGTCCTTGAGGCAAAGTCAGCCTTCAAAGGCTCCAGTGTCTCCCAGGAACAGTCCTGTCTTAGTGTCTGCTGTCATT